CCCCCCCCTGGACCTGCTGGAGGCTGAGCAGGAGGGTCCGGGCCCATTCCATGCGATCCCGGTCCCGCGTCCAGCGCAGCGTCTCCTTGATGATGTCCCCGAAATCCCCGTAAAACTGGGAAGGGGGGGGAATTCCAGGAATTCCTGAATATCCATGGAAACCTCCAGGGACACCCAGAGATCCCAAAGATTCCCCCAGGAATTTCTGGAGACTCCCAGAGACCCCCTGGAGAACATGGACATGGAAAATGTCCCGGAGAACCTCCTGGAAAACCTCCTGGAGAACCTCAGGAGATCCCAAAATCCCTGGAAAACTGGGAATGGGGGGAATTCCAGGAATTCCTGAATATCCATGGAAACCTCCAGGGACACCCAGAGATCCCAAAGATTCCCCCAGGAATTTCTGGAGACTCTCAAACTTCCCCTGGAGAACATGGACATGGAAAACCCTCTGGAGAACCTCCTGGAGAACCTCAGGAGATCCCGAAATCCCCGGAAAACTGGGAAGGGGGGGGAATTCCAGGAATTCCTGAATATCCATGGAAACCTCCAGGGACACCCAGAGATCCCAAAGATTCCCCCAGGAATTTCTGGAGACTCCCAAACTTCCCCTGGAGAACATGGACATGGAAAATGTCCCGGAGAACCTCCTGGAAAACCTCCTGGAGAACCTCAGGAGATCCCAAAATTCCCCGGAAAACTGGGAATGGGAGAATTCCTGAATATCCCTGGAGACACCCTGGGACACTCAGAGACCCTCAGGAATTTCTGGAGACTCCCAGAGACCCCCTGGAGAACATGGACATGGAAAACCTTCTGGAGAACCTCCTGGAAAACCTCCTGGAGAACCTCAGGAGATCCCAAAATCCCTGGAAAACTGGGAATGGGGGGAATTCCAGGAATTCCTGAATATCCATGGAAACCTCCAGGGACACCCAGAGATCCCAAAGATTCCCCCAGGAATTTCTGGAGACTCTCAAACTTCCCCTGGAGAACATGGACATGGAAAATGTCCCGGAGAACCTCCTGGAGAACTTCAGGAGATCCCGAAATCCCCGGAAAACTGGGAATGGGAGGGCACCAGGAATTCCTAAAGATCCCTTGGAGACTCCCAGGGACCCCTAGAAATCCCAAATATTTCCCTGGAGACTCCCAAACTTCCCCTGGAGAACATGGACATGGAAAACCTCCTGGAGAACCTCAGGAGATCCCAAAATCCCTGGAAAACTGGGAATGAGGGGAATTCCAGGAATTCCTGAATATCCATGGAAACCTCCAGGGACACCCAGAGATCCCAAAGATTCCCCCAGGAATTTCTGGAGACTCCCAAACTTCCCCTGGAGAACATGGACATGGAAAACCCTCTGGAAAACCTCCTGGAGAACCTCCTGGAAAACCTCAAGAGATCCCGAAATCCCTGGAAAACTGGGAATGGGGGAATTCCTGAATATCCCTGGAGACCTCCAGGGACCCCCAGAGATCCAGAATTCCTCTGGAGACCCCTTGGAAAACCCCTGGAGACCCCCAAAACTTCTCCTGGAGACCCCCAAAAACCTCCCCAGGAGACCC